GTAAAATAAAAGCCGATAACGTGTCAAGGTAAATATTCGATATCGATATAAATTTATTTATTACGGAACATCTTCATCTCTACGTTAAAATGGGATGGATTCTCAGGTATAAAATAATTTAAAAAGGAGTCATATTTGATGTTTCTGAACAATTGATGATTATAAAGAAACATGAATATCTATTTTTTTTTCATTTATACAGGTTGTCCTAGACCTCACAATCTTCATTTTCTCTTGGAAATTTGAAAATTATTTTTCGTTACCAAAAACATCGAGGCAACTCATTCTTTATGGCGATTAATTAATTCTCAACATATCTTTGTAGCTCTGTAGCTTTCGAATATAAAATATAAATAAAAAATTTCGCTCAATGTTTTTGAATAATTGAAGAATAAAGAAAGGTGAATATATCTTTCATGCCAATTATATATTTCTTTCATGTGCTCGGATAAAATTGGATTTTTTTCTAAACTTCAACAGATGAATACTAATTACGTTCTTAGGTTCCAAATAAAAATTAAAAAATTACGTTCAATGTTACTAAACATTTAAGATTCCTGGCCCATCGCTTTTATTTTTATGTCATTAAACAATTACCCTTGTTTAATGACATCAAAAGCGAAAAATGCTTGCCAAGATTTCTTGCATTCTACAATATAATGTAAGAATTCTTGGCATGCGTTTTCCCGCTTCTGATGTCATTAGACAAAAATGCAGTGAAGGTTGCAACGAAGGATCAGAAGCCTCAACGAAGAAAGATAATCTAAATGTAAATATCTTTTTTATCTTAATTACCTATCACAGACCTCAAAAAGGATGTTCCGAAGATATCCAGAGAACGTTTTACGTCCTAAAGACGTTCCCTGCATGTTTAAATAAAATGTGCTATGTACATATCCGATATAATTATTATGTAGTTGAATATATCTACGCCTTAATCAAAACTTCGAATATGTAAATAAGCATGAATTGCATTTTCAATGCGAAATAAAATATCACATTCGATATTTATGAACAATTGATGAGTAAAACAACGTGAATATCTTTCACATCAATTATATATTTCTACGAAGTTCCACATGCTTGTATAAAAAGACCTTTTTCTTGAAATTTCAAACAGATGAATGCTAATTACGATCTTAGATGTAAAATGAAGATATGAAAGTCACGTTCAATATTTCTGAACATTTAATGAAGAAAGAAGCACGAGTATCTTTTTTATCCCAATTATATACCCGTCGTATAATTGCTACGTGGTAATATAAGTTCCAGTGATTGGATAGAACTTTTTTTGGAAATTTCGAACGAATTCTGGAAAGTTAAATGAATGCTAATCTTATTTTATAATACGACCTTAGGTGCAAAATGAAGATAAAAAGATCACGTTCAATATTTCCGAACATTTAATGAAGAAAGAAGCGCAAATATCTTTTCATCTCAATTATACATCCGTATAATTGCCACGTGGTAATATAAGTTCCACGTGTTTGGATAAAACTTTTTCTGGAAATTTCGAACAGTTAGATGAATGCTAATCTTATCTTATTTTTCTAGTACGATCTTAAATGCGAAATAAAAATAAAAAGTCACGTTCAATTTCTAAGTTCAATTTCTAAGTTTTCATTTTCGTTTTCATTTTATTTAATAAACAAAAAGGGGAGAATATTTCTTTCATACTCGCTACATATTTCTCCAACATTTCGCATATGCATTAGTGAAATTAATGTATTTCGTGTAAATTTTTTCATACTTAGATAAGTACGGAAAGTCAATATTACGCTCTTAGATATATAAAACAAAAATGAAGAAATCGCTTTCCACGTTTCCGCACAATGGAAGAAGAAACAGGCGCAAAAATGTCTTTTATTTTTTCATACCCATTCCAAAAGGTCCACGTATACGGTTAAAATCAGGTATATAAATTAACGTTGCAGGTAACACTTTTATGATTTCATTTCGTCATCCCGACCCTAGAGCGAGCGAGCGATTGGTCGAGCATCAGGATCGTGCCCCTAAAGCAAAGTGGTGCCATTGGATGAGCTTCGCATGCGATTGGTCGGCTCGCGCTCTGTGTGAGAAGAACGGAGGGTAATGCGCAAGCCGTGTGCCGACGAGGTGAACAGTGTGTTCACGTAAGCCCACCGTGTCACATGGTGGAAGGTTTCTTCTCGGCCAGGGTTTGGTAAGATGTAGTGTGTCGCGTAAAGTGCGTCGTTGCCGTTGATTGCTGCGTCGAAAACGAATTTATCGCGTCAACGGCAGCAGTCTCAGCATCGTGCAGCCTCGCATGCGGTAATTAGTAAGTGCATGAAATGTAAGATCACCATGTAAGCGGTGAGAAAGAGAGAAAGAAAGAGGGAGAGAGAGAGAGAAGAACGCTCGTCCGACATCGCGATCGCGCGCACCGACCGACCGACCGAGGTGATGACGTCGGATTGTATGTATTATGTTAGCATGATTCGACTCTCGCTGCTCGTGAAACGCGCATTCGCCCGTGTTCGCGCTTCGCACAGTGCGATGCTCGCCGCGTCTGAATCTCGGGACTCGTGGTCGGTCGGCCGCTCGCGACCGCCTCAGCCGGCGGGTGATCGCGCTCCGGAGACGCACTCCCTTGTTTTCGTTCCGTCGTTCTTCGCTCTAGCGAACATCCGTGTGCATGTGTCCGTATGTACACAGAAGTACATCGACACACGCACTGGCGGCGTGTGTACGTGCCTCGTCTCTCGTCCGCTACCGGTTCTCTCTCCGCCCCCTCACCCCCTTCGTTTCTTTCTTTCTCTTCCTCATCCCGTCGTCCCATGTCGTCACACACGCGCGCGCATACAAAGGCGTACGACGACGGTAAGGGCGAGTCGGTACCCCCCATGAATCCTGGACACAGCTGACGCGCCGAGGTACGCGATTTCGGCCGCTCGCCGAAGCGGCGCCGACGCTTTTCGGCCGCGGAGATCGTATCTTATCTACCGCCTCCGCGTGGTCGCCTGCTCCCCTCCGACGAGGAGTGCGCCCACGCATTCCTCGTCCCTTCCCCACTTCGTTGCTCACTCATACTCTCTCTCTTTCTCTGTCGCGAACGCGGTGCCATTGCACCGCCGAACGAATCGCAGCAGGAAAGGCTATAAATATACACGCATCGCGCGGGGTAAACAAACTTGACCTCAGCGGAATTCTTATCGGTGTATACACCGCGTCATGGATGTCGTACCGCTGTAATTAGAATTACTTGGACGATTTTCGACTTTTATCATCACCCGTATTCTGAACTCAATCTTATCGATGAAAGCACCTTAAATGTGGCTTCTTAGTCAGGCGGTTACTAAATTACTTTTAGAGGTATTTTTATCGACAAAGGAGGAAGGAGAGTTCAAAATACGACCCTATGTGTGCCTAACCGTCGATTCCATCAATTTCGGTTAATCTAATCGACCGATTAACTCAACGGAATTGACCAATTATATGAATCAGTTAGCTAATTGGACAATGCGATTGGTCAATTCCGTTGAGTTAACCGAAATTGATGAAATCGGGGGTAAGACTGAAAATCGTGTAAGGGTGACTTAGGAACGGAAGAGTGAAGAGTCACGCGTGAAAAATGTCACGTTTTCATTGGCCGAGAAGTCACGTGGTCGCTGAAGTTGAGCCATGATTCTTTTCATTTTTCCGTTATTCGGGAAAAGTTGCATTATCGTTACCTAGTTGTTGACCATGTATAAAAGTTACTTAGTATAGGGTAGAGTAGCATTTGATTAATCATTCATGATAAAGAAATCTTTCCTCTTTTCATCTCGATTGGTCAAATTAAATAGAAATTGTGTAACGTTCGATTTAGGAAATGGTACAGCATACATGATACTGCTGACTGTACAGTGGATAGAAAGGTTGCAACAGACTTCTTTTTCGATGAGTTTCGCAACGCATCTCGTGTCCAAAGAGGAGAATATATCTCTTGAAAATAACCGAGGACCAGTACACAATAGAATATATTAGGAATAAAAATAAATATTAGATATTTGGAATAAGAATTAGGAATTATTTTTACGCAACGGAAATGAAATGAACGGCTATATATGACACAATTTCTATATTTATATCTCAATTTTTGTACATTATGTTTAATTACATTATTCCCAATTCTTATTCTTAATATTTATTCCTAATATTTCCATTGTGCGCGCAGAGCCTAAGAAACAAATTTTCCGATTGAACACGGTATGCGTTCCGAAACTTATCCAAAAAAGTATTGCAACCTTTCTACCAATACACCTTAGCAGAGAGAAACTTGAGAGCCATTTTTCAAGGGATCTTTCGATGCGCATTCTGAGAAAGTACGTTGGATCACACAAAGAACAATGACCAAATTTGATCTTTGTCTAACCTAACGTAGTTTACCTGTAGTTCCTCAGGGATATTGAAAAGATGGTCTCTTGAAAAACGATCGGGCAATCGCTCTCAAATTTCTTTCTGACCATAAAAGTCGTTTTACATTAGTTGCTGGTCGATTGTAACTTTTTGTTGCGACAGCCAATCAGAAACGTAATTAACTGGAATTAGTCAATTTCTTACTGCTTAAGACCCAGCCTAACATAGAACGATCTTAAGACCCGTGTCACATTACGGATTAGAATTGATTTTGGACTGAAATTTGATCAGTCAGAGCAAGTTTAACTAAACTTGAGTTTAGTTGAACTGTTAGATGCCTGATACAGGCCTAAGAGAGCTTCTGGTAAAAGGGAGGCGCCAACAAAGTCACGTGACCGTGTACTTTGTTACACCAACCAATCACAGAGCAGGCCGATTTGAATACAAACATACTATTGTATCCATATACGCGGGAATCATGTCAGCCAATCACAGAATATTATTGGTCATGTGACCCTGTGGGCTCCTCCCACTAGAGGCTCTCTGCCATAGACAACTATATATGAGCTAGACTGCTAACTCGCATGAAATAGATGGCTTCAGTATACATACACGTATATGCTGAACTGACACGCATGCGCCTCGTAATAAATACGACGGTCACGCCTGATTGGTCGATTGTAACGCATGTGTCCGTAGACGCAAGTAGGCATCGGCTCACACACATCCAATCAGATATACGAATCCCCCCTCCTTTCTATGCGTGACATACGATACATATTTCAATACAATTTCGGGGGTTCATTTTTCTACTTAGGCAAAGGAGTCAGCAGTCTAGCTTTATGGGCTCTATCACCTGTATAGGTGTCTGTGGTATACACACGCACGAGCAGTTTTGGAGGTTATGTCGCGGCTACGTCCTCGGTGGCTCGATGCGTCGCGGTGCGCACGGGCGACGACTCTGAGACGGTGATTCTCCCAGTCGCGTGAGACTCGCGTCGAGACGTCCGCCGAGGACAGTCGGTAAACGGTGGTGGGTGCGCGTCGACAACAGCAATACGGTAATAATCGCGCGCGTTATCGCTGAGAAGCGACGGAAATCGTGATTACTTCGCTCGGGCGGAAAACCCGGCGGACGGCCGATGGGCGATGCATGCGACGGGCGGTGCGAGCGGAGTTCACGCTCGAGTAACATGCTCGCTCGACGGAGCGCGAGGGAATGCGTTAGTGGGTGTTTGACCGCGACTCGAGCGGCTTGTGTTCTTGAACTGTCGTGGAATACGAAACTCGAGGAGGGAACTTGCTTGCGATCCGCTCCTCGGGGATCTGATTCTACATACGCGCGTCTCCCGCGAAACTCGGCTTGCAGATAAACCGTTCGGTTATTCGACGAAGAGGTACTTCGCTCACGAGACAGGTGTAAGTCGTAGAATAGGGAACTCAAGAGAGGAACTTCACAGTGCCCGTCGATCTCGTTGTGCATACCTCCTCCCCCCCTCCCCCGCGCGAAGCTCGGCTCGTCGCGGAGATAAGCGACTCGATTATTCGGTGGCAGAGTGGCGGAGGTTTTTCGCTCTTACACAGGTGTAGTAAGTCTCGGAGATCGAGACTTCAGGAGAGAAAGAGAGAGAGAGAGGAACCTCGCGATGCTCATCGGAAATCTCGGAATATACGCGTGATTCGCGTGATTGAGTCGCACAAATAAACTACTTAATTGATCGGTTGCAGGATTAGAAGATTATTCATGTATAATAACAGGTATGGATGCTGGCCCTTAATACAGGCAGTGATTGCAGCAGGCTTTGAACACCAGCATCAAGTGCCCTGCCCGAACTGTTCTCTACTCACCTCCTTCGACGAAAATTCCGAGGGATACAACATGAAGTGTAATCTGTCAACCACTGCACCTTTTTGCGAACAAGTCAACGAGCTCACACGCATGTTCTCGCAATGGAACCCCTGCGAGCAGACCGTTGTTATTTATGCGCTGCTGCGCTACATACCCGCGGTACAGGCGAGATTCCTGGCAGAGGTGGTGCAACACAAGTTGCATTCTGTATCGCAGCTGGATGCGCAAGAGATACAGGCCAATAATACAGGTAGTGTTGCAAGCAACGAACAGAACTTTTGCTTCCGGTAGTGTAGATGAAATATTTATGGTGGTTTGGGGACCTCGGTTTGATTTCCATGGGGTCTTCCTAAGGTTTCGAACGGCTTGGATTCTGCATTCGAGAGCTGCATCAGGTCTGTTCCTTTTAGCCGAACCAAGTTGCACTTTTTCCAGTTAAAGTGAAACAAGTAAATATCCAAGATGACGATTCTTGCGCGCAAAGAAACAGACTTGCACCCGTTACATCTGTGAACTTTGTTTTTGTATGAGACTTGTCTATGTTTTGTTTATGAAATGTGTAGACTCACTCTTTTCCTCACTTATTTCAAACGTCTCATTTCTCACTTTTGAGGAAAAAGCTCACCTTTCTCTCTTTTATTTACTTAACTTGAGTCCTTAAAAGAAACTAGATTACAAAGAATCATTTAATAATTAGCTTCTTTAAAGACAAAAGATTCAATAAAAATAGGAAGCAACGATGTGACGACATAATGTTCATAAGATGGAGAACTGTGATTTTATTTTTAAGCTGTTTTTATCAGGCTTGTTAGAAAAACAAACAGTAACATGATCGTCATGAGCACTGACTGTGCTTTCTTTAAATAACCTAATGGGATCGTTCGTTCACGTTTGTTCTCATCCATAATTCTTGTTTATCCACCAACGAGTTATTACAAACGAAATCAAGAAAACAGACAGACTGACCATCAGGAACACATCTAACTGTATTTTCTTTTTAAATTGGGTATTACTGATTATTATTTCTTGAATATTATTCTTAAATATTATTCTTAAAGAGTTGACTAACTAGTCTGCTTGTAACGGAAAAACCTGTAACTTAGACGTTCTTTTATTTCTAAAATTATCTATCCGTAAGTATGTCATAGGTTCGTCATAAACATGTCAAATTTATTCTCAAAATATATTTTCAATCTTAGTAAGCATAGTACTTCAAACAAGAATATTAAATCAAAACACTAAAGCTTCCGTTTATTTATTCCAATTGGCCGAATTTAACTTCTCTTCGATAAGGTTTACAATATTCTTGAAAAGAGAACAATTTCTTCATTTGAATAAATGATAATGTGCTTCTCCAATATTTGTGATGAGCATACTTTCATACCATTATCAAGAAAATATTCTCCGCTCAAGGCAACCGTTATTCAAAACAAGAAAAATAAACTGAAAAATTGCTTTTCTTTGAGCAATATTTTTCGGTATGTAAATGGTATCAATGAGATACATTAGTAGATACTGGACTTACAGACAGTGGACATATTAATGAGACACTTTATGTTGCAGCTTTCATACAACGTTTGAGGATGGAATCAACAGAAACTGCGATCCACGAGTTGCTGTTGCACTTGCCATTGCTGAAGCCTGGGAATTTGGATTGCAAGAAAGCCTATTTAGATGTGATACCGGAAATAATAGGCGCCTGCGCGACCAATACACAATTTACATACGAAGCGCAGCAGCTCTTAAGCTACACTCTGATACATCCGGCCCTAACCTGTCATGATAGACGTTCTTTGCATCAGTGGCTCAGATATCTGGAGGAACGTATTAAGAATACACCGACTACGTCCAGTACAGCGAAAGAATACACGAATACTAGACTGGCACCCAGGTGAGAGAGCCTCGAATTCAACACGATGACTAACGATGTTCCACGGCCGGTAATCTCGTTGTGTCCACAACGATATCAACGTTCCTTAACGTTGTTCTCGTTCACTGCCAGCAGGTTGGACAACTTATGGTCACGGAGGCTGAACGACATGTTCAATATGCATCTGAGCACATCGACGTTCGGCTTAACGTCGATGCCACCACCTCCGCCGCCGCCACCGCCTTCACAGCCACCACAGCCAATTAGCCGTCAACGTCGTTCGAACAGCTTGACGCCACCGGCAGCGACGTCGCATCACCACGAGCTCGTGGATCGCGCCAACAATGCGGCGAACGCGTCCAGGCATAAGCCGCGTAGCTTCAGCGTTTCCGGCGACCACGCGAGTAATTATCAGCCTATACCGCTTACACCACCAGTTCAGTCATTAGTCCCTCACGGACGTCGTTACTTAACCGGCGGTCCTCCTGTTGTTTACTCAGGTAGTCTCATCGGTTTGGGACCGTTGAGTCCGCAGGGCTCTTGCGCGAGTAGTGGCAGCGAGGGGCGTCTGGATGACGCTTCAAATCGTCCTCTAGCGAGCGGTATGAGAGGTAGGTTCGGGTCCTAATTCGAACTGAACGGACTTCCGAGCCGATCTTTAAGATTCGGCATGGAGGTTCGAATTGTCCGTTCAAAACACACTCGCCGGTGCATCCAATTCAGAGCCCCTTTCTCTGCTCGTTTAGACGTAGCGGCGTGGCTTAAGACATTGCGCCTGCATAAGTACAGCTACTTGTTCACTTCGATGTCCTACGAGGATATGCTGGCGTTGACCGAGGAGAAATTGGCGACGCAGGGAGTCACGAAGGGCGCCAGGCACAAGTTGGCCATCTCGATCGGTAAGCTGAATCAACGGTACAACACGCTTCAGAATCTGGAGAAGGATCTGCAGTCCACCGATGGGCAAGTCAACTCGTTCACGCAGGGCCCGCCATTACTCATCAGCACAATAGACGAGCTTAAAACGATTCTCTCCACCCCCATGAAGCCGAGTCAAGAAGGCGATCCGCAGGACATTCCCACTCAGTTCATAAAAGTACTGGGCAAACGTGAGTGCAACGTTCGTTCGTAGTTGAGAGATCGTTTGAAGGAGCCGCTGAAATAATGTTGAGATACGATGAAGCATTTTCTCGCATTTTAGTGTTCAACAAAATAGCCCTCGAGCCGGACGACAATATACAGTGCGCCTTCAGCAGCGTCTTGGAGAAGGTGACGAATCACCAATGCTTCAGTCCGAGTCAGCAAGACAGGGCGAGACAGTGGCGTAACAAGCTTGGCAATCCGCGACAAGTCCAAAAGTACGTCGTGAAACGTCGTCTAATGAACTGATGTAACGCTGTCGATGAGATGACAAGAATGCGCGCGTCGAATTGCAGGTGGCAGAACTACGGATACGGTAACCGGAAATACGGCAATTCGCAACAGCACAACAGAAAACCGGGCCTGAACTCGAACAACGTTCATAATACTCACACCACACACAGCGGCCATTCGTACATGGTCAGTCCGCATAGAAACAGTACGAACTCGCTGTATTATCAAGGTATGAGCCAAGGCTTGGGTCATATACGTCCTGCCTCGGTCGAGAAGAGATCCAGTCTGCAGGAGAATAGTTTGCAGGTAAGAGATAAGGTCTAGCTCCCCTCCCCTCTCTTTCTCCCACTCTTCCCCTTTTTTCTTTTTAAAAGAATTTTAGAAGAAAAAATGAAGACACATGTATGTGTATTTTTTTTTTTTTACGTTTTAAGCCGAATGTTGCCAGAAAGGTAGATCCTTTCCTCGACTTCTTCTGCAACATTCTTCTTGATAATATTTTTAATGTCGCATACGTCGGTTTTTCTCTTTCTGCACAGCAAGTGCAGAATTCTTTTTACCGTACGAATAGCGCGCCGCGAGATCACTTCATAGGCCCCGAGACTTCCGGCAACGATTTGGCACAACCGATTCCGGATCAATCGACGGATGAATCGATGGATCAATCGACGACAGAGCCGGACATTAACTCAAGTCTGGCTGCTCTCTGCTTGAGAATGACCGAGCAAGCCATCGGTAACGAAACCTAATATAATAAAAAATACGATTTACACACGATTTACGTGTGTAAAAGTCTTCCTTCTTTTTCCTCTAAGAATTATTTCTACTTGAAATCAATGTCGCACGCAAGTAAGGTGTAATCTCCTCGCCATCGTCATACTTTGTTTTCTTTCTTCTTTCCGTAAACGATACCGTCTCGTGTAATTTTGGCAGAATGTCTTAGACGATCTTTATATAGAGGTCTCCGTAAAAAAAGATTGTTCAGATGGTACTTACGGCAAAATTCTACATGCCTGAATGGAAGAAGAAAGACTTTTACGCACGTGTGTAAATCGTATTTTTTTATTATATGTGATGCAATTGTATTATTTAAGTGACAACATTTGGCAAGCCAAATGCTACTAGGAAGATAGATTCTTTCCTCGACTTCTCTCGCAACATCTATATAAAATATATAAGAGGAAATATATATACATGCATGTGTGTACATCTTTAGTGAACAGGGGAAACACTTGCAATTTGATGAAGAAGTAAAGATCATTTAGGAGAATACTACAGAAAGAAACAGAAAGGGAAACACAAGATGTAATAACGTTCGCAATATTGTTTTTCGTGTTATCCATTTTTTTCGTAAAATGGAATTTTGCCTGTTTTAAAAATACGAGACACCTAGTTAAAGTAATTAATTTATTTTAATGAATAGACTGATTTTACTTCTTTTTAACATCTAACGGTATACTATTATTATTTGTACTCTTATTATTATTATTATATTGGTATATTAGTATAATTCATATTTTTTATTGTTATTACTTTCAACACATCATTCTTGCTAATACTACTCTACTATTGCTCCTATTACTATTACTCTATCGCTACTACTATTCTACCATCACTATTGATACTATAATCGCTATTCTCACTACTATCATCACATTATTATCGCTCTCACCACTATTGTTACTATCGCTATTACTATTACTGTACTGTTAAAACTCCATGTAGAGGATGAGCATACTTCTTGCTACCGTGTCGTATGAGTTAATCCGTGTACCTTTATCGAAACTTCAATCTCAATTTAAACCGGACAAGAGCACGTGTACGTGACGGTATGTATGCTTCGTAGTTGGCACACAGATCTCGCGATTTCCCATTTATTTGGCGCATTTTACAACGCGTTTTTTCTTCCTTTTTTTTTGGTTATTTTTTTTGTCCATCGTTTTCTTTCCTTTTCCAAATACAATGGTAGGCTACTGTAAACGCGAGTAAATAACTTAATAAACGGATAATAAGGGCCTTATGGAGAGAAACAAGCGAAAACGCGCGTGAAAAGAGAGCTGTAGGAAATTTAATGTTATAAAGTAGCAGCGAAATTCGCGAGGGGGCGTGGAACGGGAGAGGTGGTGGCAAACTGGCGCTATATAACGTGGCGTGACATCGAAATCTGTGGCTTTACATTGTAAGCATACATTAATATCCGATCTTTAGCACGTTGAGGTAGCGTTGCGAGTAATGTAGCATAATATTTTTTTGTGCAAGAAGATTGACTATTAAACGCATAATATTAGGAGCTATATATATATATATATATATATATATATTTAGTGAACATGTTATGTTTTCCTTTTTGTTTTTTCCCGTAGTATCCTTCTAAATGATCTTTACTTCTTCATCCAATTGTCTGCATGTGTTTCCTCTGTTCACTAAATATATATATATATATATATATATATATA